AAATGATTAAACTCAATTATCTCAAAATGAAATATATGTAAAAATGGGCCCTTTTAGTTGACAGCACTCCATATTATTAGTCAATTTAATTTCGGCAAGAATTTCGTCAAATCATCAGTAATTTCGTCAAACGTCTCTAATTTCGTAAAACGTCTGTAGTTTCGTCAGACGAAACCATTGGCGAAACCATTTCCTCATGGCCAAAATAGGTTCGTCAGGCATCATTAGTAGTGGTTGTGGTTGCAGCTTGAGTAGTGGTTGCAGCTTGAGTGGTTATAGCTATGTGTCTTAGCTGTGGTTTTAGCTGTGAGCAAATCGCGGGTTTGCAAAATATCACGCGCGTGATTCGCGTGATAGAAATTATCTTTGGATTTCTTGAAATTTTGTTAATGTGGGCCGGCTGGCCTGAATTAGGAATCATATTAAAAAATTACGCGCGTGATCCATAAATCACGCGCATGTCATCACTAGCTGTGGTCTTAGATGTAATTATAGCTGTGGTCTTAGATGTAATTATAGCTGTGGTCTTAGCTGTGGTTTTAGCTGTGGTTTTAGCTGTGATTTTAGCTGTTGTCTTAACTGTGATTATAGCTGTGGTCTTAGCCGTGGTTTTAGCTGTGATTATAGCTGTGGTCTTAGCCGTGGTTTTAGCTGTGGTTTTAGCTGTGGTCTTGGCTGTGGTTTTATCGGTGGTTTTAGCTGTGGTCTTGGCTGTGGTTATAGCCAGTGTTGGCCGTTTTAGGTCATATCCAACCAAGGTAGTCATAATGTATTAGTAAATTTTATAAGTCATAACAGGTCATAAGGTCATAACCTATGATTAGCCAATAAGTCATACTAAAAGTATCAATAAAAAGAAATTAGGAGATTTTAAATATTTATATTTTGATTTAATGGAATGACATTTATTCATCGAAATAACTATAGTTTTGATGTCTGCTTTGTATTCAAAGATTTATCTAAATAAAAATACAAAACATTTATATTATTTTTACATTTCATATTATATATATTATTTAAACTTTCCTAATTAAAGTCAATATAAATTGGGTAATGTCAAAAAAAGCATTTATGCATTTAATTTAGTTTTCACTTATCGGGATTCATTTTCTGATGTTGTGTTAATTGCGTTATTTGACATTGAATCTCATAAGGTTAAACCTATTAAATGCATAAAACATTAAAGAATTTTATTTGGTAAACACATTTTCATGCGAATAATTCTTACTGTAATTAAACACACGTTAAAGCAAAATATACGATCTATAAAGTCTATTTTATATTAAGTGTAAGCCTATTTATTTAACGACGTTTTACAATATAAATACGCTAATTTGAAAACCCCTAATGTCGAAAATTTTCAGATAGTAAGGGATCTGAAAGTTGCAGCACATTAACTATATTTACAATAATCACATCAAAACGATAATACTAACTCTTTTTTTTTTATTGATACTATTTAAATAAAGATAAAAAAAGATATAATCCTAGGATCATACAGTATAAGCAAATAGAAGTTTCGACATTTTTTTCCTTAAAAGTAGAGATAGTGATCGATCAAAATTTTATATTTTTATATTATTGATCGTATGTTTGTTATATAAGTTATATGAAATAGCAATAAAAATTTTAGCGATCAACATAGTTAAGTAATTTGTCACAATGTGATCGATCATCTCTACTTAAAAGGAATTTCCTCAAGCACTTTATTGAAAAGGTTTTTGACATTATAATTTGTAAGAGTGAAGATCAACTTTTGCGCTAACATTAAAATCGATCAATCACATTTGTTTATAATTTTTTGTCATCATTTTGTTATTTGATTAATTTTTTGTCATCATTTTGTTATTATTATTATGATTATTTCATTTTAATGTTATTTGCCAAAATAACATTCTGGTAAGGTAGTGACAGATATTACGTAATTAGGGTTTGAACCATTTTAACCTCCATCCCCCACATTAGATATTTGTTTAATAAATCATTTATAAATATATAGTTATATCCCCTAAGGATATTACGTAATATCTGTCACTGCCCTAAGACCTCGAGAAATATCCTAATCAGCATCGATAAATTTAAGAACCTTTTTAAACTATTAAGATTTACTTAAACTTCTAGAGAATGGGACACTTCAATAACTGGTAATTAAGGTCATGAAATTACTGCAATTTTACGTAATTTTTCGTAAGATTCGGTAAATTGGATTTACATGGAAATGTAATTTTAATCATATGAAATGTAAAGTTTATTAAATTTTTCGTTCGCTAATTACCGAATTTGTGATCACATAAAGTTGAATACGTAATTATTCGTTCGCTTAATTATTTTTGTCATATAAAGCATAAAATATAAAATAAAGTAAAATCGAACCAAAAATTTTATAACATACTACAGTACTAAAAATGGTTAAAAAAAAAATGAAAGAAAGGTGAAATGTGGGATCAATATACTATGCAGATAGATGAAGTGGCAAAAAATGCAACAAGATTACAGGAACATTTGGATATATGTTCTTTACGAAATTCAACAATAAATGAAGTTTCAAATGTTAATAAGAAACGAAAACAATCAACATCAGATAATAGTGAATTGGAATCACGGAGTAAAAATAATCGCAAAACAAAATTAATATGTTTGCAAAATCTTCATATCATATGACTGAAATGATTTAAATAAACGTATAGCAATTCGTTACATGCTTCATATTTAAATATAACGATATTGTAACTGATGTCTTAGATATTCAAATAAATCTAATGAATAAATCTAGGCCAAATTTATGTAATCTCAGTACTTTATATCATATGACCAAATTTACGTGTAATTCGATTTACTGAAACTTACGTAAAATTACAAGTAATGTAAGATTATAATTTTCGTAACAAAACCCTATCTTCACATGAATATTAATTTATGCTTGAAAGAACTTATGAAATAAATTCTGCGGAAAATAACGACAAAAATGTTTACATATTTCATAAATTAAATACTTCTATTGCCATTTTCATTTTATGATTCCAAAATTTCAA